AGAAGCGGTAACACATTATTGCTTCGATTGTAAGGCATCTCTTTCATTGGACAGTCCCTTCACATTAATTAGCAGCTTAGGACATAGTGCAGTTATACTGACCAGAGACCTAAAACTACCCTAATTTGAATCTGTTAGTGCATCTTGTAGCCTCAAGTATGAAAGGTGAGGCTTGAACCCGAGTCACTCTTTGCCTTTTCCAACATTTCCATTTGTTTCTTAATGGTAGCACAAATATGGGCATGCAGAGAGGTGAGTTAAAACTAAGTCCAGTGTTGTTGCAGCTACTTGCCTCTGAATGAGGCAGATAAGGTAATTGAGGCCTGTGGGCCACAGTTTGAACTGCCTTCCTCCCTCCATGGAAGATGTGGGCCCCTGATGTCAAAGTATTTGGATTTTTTGCTGTTGTCACTTTTTGGCCTTTCTGTCAACAACAGATCGTAAGTTCTTCATAGTCAAGAACAAGCAGTAGCTGCCACTGGAGGCAATGGAAAAATGAAATGACCATCACAGTGTCAGAGAATGGAAGAGAGACAGCTGCATGGCAGGGGCCCACAGACCATTCATGAGAAAAATTAAGGCTCGAAATAAATGAATGAACACATACGTGGTTGGATATAAGGCTACATGTATGTGAATAATGATGTATACACACCTCTGTATATATCTGTTTAGGCAATAAGATTAAACTGGCTTTCCTGTGAATTGGATACATAAACATACACAACCGTGTCCATGTGTATTTGCAGTTGTCTGGGTATTTTTCAGTGCTGCAGCTGCCCCTTTATGTATCTGTACTTTCAAAGGAAAAGTAGATACATTTATTTCAAAGTCTGAGATTGAGATAAAACCTAGACGAGATATTAGAGAATGGTGTAGTGAGATGGTAACAGGCAAGTTCCCCAAATCATGTTTCAACAAAGTAGATTTATGAAAACCAGGCTGGAATAAATGCAAAACCAAACTGGAATAAATACTACTTCTTTTTCAAAAGACTGAATGCAATGGTGGCTTTTGGATTAGGACAAGGAGGAGGATCAGGCCACTTTATAAACTATGCACACAATTCTGTTCCTTGGATGGAAGTTGGGAGAATCACCACTTTGACCTTAATAGGCATCTAAATCACTCAGCCTCTGTGTCTGACCTAGCCACTTTGTTTTCCCTTCCTGCATATCTACTTCTCTGTGTCTTGTTTTTTCTATAGTATATTCTTCCTGCAGTTCATCAGTCCAATTAGTTTCTGTCAGTTAGGCAGAGAAGAGGATGATAAAATTGATAAAGGAGCAACAGATAAGCACTGCAATCTTTGAGCTTCAGAGCCAATTGGGTAAAAAGAAACTTGTTGCAAGGTTCACTCCTGTGATAGAGAGGGGGAAAAGCCTTTGGAGTATGCCCTCTTGTGGCAACTTGCTTTTATGTTCAGTACAGAAAGGTAAACCCCTAGAAACAAGAACATACAATTTTTAAAAAATGAATGGAATTGTCACTCTGTCATTTATTGTTCCTCCTCTCCTCTGGGATCAGTACTTTGTTATGAATTTATTTTAAAATATGTATCACCTTCACTATTGTGTTCATTTTATTCTTTTCTTTTTGCTTGCAAATGTTCCAGAAACGGAGTGTACTCAGTTACTTGGCTCTTACATTCCCCAAAACCAGGTTCTGAGCAAACCTTTTTAGATTCAAGCTGTAACTGATAAAAGCATGGATCACAGTTTCCACCCAGTCCCAACTAACCACTGGTCATAATCCTTGGAATGTCACTACTATCGCCTCTTTAATAATTTCTGTTCATCACAATATACAAACTCTTTATTATTGCTCACTGAGTTGCCAGTAGCTTATTACAGACTCAGCAATGTGGAAAGGAGGCAGTTCAGCATCCTTTAGCAGTCCACTGGCAAATGTAAATGTCCTCTGGACTGTACCCATTGGGCTAATAAAGCTCTCAAGATATTAAAGGAATACTGGCCAGGACAATTAATTTATCATTACTTGTTGTAACAATAATTAATTATTTCTTCTCTTGACAAGTAGTATTCCATTGTTCCTCCCCAAAGGCCACTTAACTACAATAATTTTGGCAGATGTGCTCCCTGAAAATTGATCTAAATACATTCTTCCCCCTTGCTAAGAAAAAAGTTAGAAAGAATGTTGATAATTGTACTATTATCAATGTTGTTCTTGTAATGGCCTGTTAGAATCCTGTTTTCCCAAACCTACAAATCACTTATCCACATTTAAATATGCTGGTTTCACAAAGGTCTGCCTGGAATTTAATAGCACCTGCCAAGAATTTGCCTGATCTCCTGGGCCTGAGAACACCTGTGTTTCAGGATGAATTCAGTATATTAGCCTCCAGGCCCTTTGTTCCCAACATCAACTCCCTACATCTTCTAGACCACTGCAATTTGGACTCCCCCTCTCCCCAACCTTTTAATCCTTCTAAGTCCAAACAGAGAATGGAGATCAGCTCACAGATGCTTGCCATTTATCAGAGCTACGTTCTTCTAATTTTGGAGAGTATAATAGCTGCATAATTCCTGGAAGCAATAAGGCAATTTTGTTAGATGAAGTCCCTCTTCTGGCAGGGAGTGGATGGGGACAGAAACTGCTTCTATTTTCAATAATATCCACTCTACTAAACTGAAGATAATGTTTCCATTCGTATTCATCGATTCTCTGCTGCCTCCTTTTTAGATGATGGCTGCTTTGAGAAACAGCAGTGTGGACTTCATTCCACCCGAGAAATGGGGGCAGGTGTGGGGGAGACCCTCATTATGATGCTTTTAGACAAATAAGGTTAGAACATCACTCAGAGTTGGTTAGGACCACTCACGAACCTTTGTGTATCTCTGTCCATCTACAGAGTTCCTCCTCAACCTTAGGGAAAGTGCTTAATTTTTCTGCCACTTTACCAGAAATTCTGAAAAGATGCCAGTCCTATTTCAGAATCTGACATTCATTTCAATCAAGCAAAATATATAAGAGGATTAATATAACCAGAAACAATATAAGGACAGAGAATGGTGATGAAGAAAAAGACTAAATATTTAGGCTTACAGAATTATAATATGTTATAGAAAAAAACATCCAAAGGAGTAATACAGGAAGCAATCATAACCCAGAGCTCCTGGCCCTTTGATGTCTAAGCTCTAAGACCTCTAAGCAGAATGCTCTACTGATAGCAGGAAGGATGTGCAATTGATATGTTTGTGATCAAACCAAAGTTGCCATAGGAAAAACCTGAGGTGGCTGAATATTTCAGTTCAAAACTAGAAAAAAAATGAGTAGCTGGACTATTGGCCACTTTCTGGGCAATGGCACAGCTAATATTAATCACGTGATTCTCTAAGCCAATTGAACAGTGTCACCATTTAAGCATGTCACAGTTACCTTTGGAGCCTGCTTCAAGCAGAAGAACTACAAACTGCTGGTACTCATACAGTGTCTAGAAACCACAGTTAGTTCCACGTGCCTTTCTCTGCAATTTAGAGACAGTGGTGTAGTAAACTGGATGTAACTCTTGCCTGTCAGATGGTCTAGCAATTTATTTGCTTTTGAAACTTCACACCTTAAATGAGAAGAACCACAAGAACTATTGATGACCCCTGGTCCTGAGATATTCCAACCATCCTTTGGAATGGGCAGAATGAGATTTTTAGGTTTTCCTTTTTTGCATTTGCTCCCTTCCCAGGTAACAAATGGCTTGACAGAGTGGACACAGGACACTGCCCACCATCAGGGCATGTACATTACAAACCCATGAAGTTAAGAGCAGGAATGTCTGCTCTTAATGCATACACATTTCTCTGCATGCCTTTTCCTGCAAACAGAACATCTGAGTCAACAGGTTTTCAGGACTGGAAACTCTGAGAGTTGCCTTAATTGTTTATATTGCTGTAGCAAACTTTTAAACAAAAATGCTCAGTGTGCCTGTGCATACTTTGCCTACCATATGCTGTACTGAGCAAAACAATGACATTCTTTGCAAGCTGTCTTGGCAACGGGGGGTGGGGGAGCCTAACTAGGCAACGTAATTAATTTCAAGAAAGTTTTCAGTAGCAGGTTTGAATCTGTATAGATTATATACCGATTGATACAGGCAGGCAAATCTAAATGTCTCTCTTTGTACACAAGGTCACATAAGCGTACACACATACACATGAATACCTGGCCATAATATTAAACATCGTACACCTACCATTATTATTTAATGACAAACTAAATAGTTTAGGAGTTAGTTATGAAGAGTTATTACTGAATGAGAATGTATATGATAGTGTTTTCAGGCTTAATTTTTTAAAAGAATATTTGACTAGCCAACAAAAAAAAAATCAAGGTTGCGTTTTTGGCAAGGAGATCTTGAGAACACCATATTTCTCTTCTCTCCTTTTCATTCCTTTTTCCAGCATGCAGAAGTCAGCATTACAATTTGGACTGCCTGCAACTATTTGTCCCAGTTACTACTGAGGTCTTGTGACAGCAGTTTTAACACTTTTACTGCCCTAAATATTTGCTGTGAATTGAATAACAATTATTTAGAAATGTTACATTCTCAACTTGTCTGATTTTAAGCGGGTTGGTTAAAAAATTAGCTATTTTCCTTTGCCCAGAGTATTTTACAGAGCTCTGTGTCTTTCATCTTTTTCTCTCTCTAGCTCTCATTTTCCTAATCATCCCTCTCTCTTAATCTGTTCTCTTCACAAATGCAATAGGAAGAACCCACTTTCTCAGTGTTTCAGCCCCAGATTTGTGTATAGCTGCTCTCCACTTGTTGGCTGGCTAAGCTATTAAAGTACAAGCAAAGCAGCTCATCTATAGCCAAAAGTAAATTCTAGAGACTCAGATCCTTTCAAGCTTTCTCCCACTCTTTTTACCAAAGCTGTAACTCTACAGAGACAATTATAGCTGCAAAGAAAAGGAAGATTAATTGCAATTCTGACAGAAAACTAGTCCAAGCGAATCTCCCCCACCCACTCACAAGCAGCACCCACCTGATTCTGCGAACGTTATGATCTCTGAAGTTTGCTCCACAAGTTCATTCATTTCTGTTCTTCTTCCAATGTCATCCTCTATTTCCACATAGCCATCCTCCCTCACTTTTCCCACATGGAGTTTCTTGATAGCATTTAAAAGGGCAGCCTTGGGCACTGGCTGAGTGATGTTCGGTCTGTCCCGCAAGTGCAACATGTTCAATATGTGCTTCTTGACTGCTTCCACCATCTCAGGCTGGGAGCTGGGGACATCCTTTGAGAGCGTGGCAAGGGCACAGGATGGGCAATCGGTGACTGAACTGTGTCCCTCAGATCCTGGGGTAGGGGAGCTCCTCACTATAATCCAGCAAAGCATCAAGAAAAATCCTCTCTTCAGAAGCAAAGGCATCCTGGCAGCAAAAGTTGTTGTGATTCCCTTCTTTAAAGGCACTGCTTTTCTTCTCCCAACACCACTTCACAGTTTGTTTTGTTCTGTTGTCCTTTCTTCTTTTCTTCCTCTTCAGCAAACTCTCTGGAGGAACAAAAAGTTTTCTGTGAAGTTTTGTTTGGAGGGTCCCTCTCTCAATCCAGTAAGTGCTATAGATGTCTGTGACTGTCAGTGAGAAGAGTTCTGACTCTGTCTCAGAGTGGGAGAAACACACACTGAGAAATAGAGAGAGAGAGAAAAAAAGAGAAGAGGACCGATTGGCCTAAAGTGAGTGAGTGAATGAGAGAGGGAGGGAGTTTTGTCTGTGAGTAAAAGCTATGATTAGGAAGGGGGAGGAACAGCCCATATTCTGACAAGCTGCCTTCCTTATGCTAGAACTGTATTCTAGCAAACACATATTGCCACTCATGTTTTCTGCCCTTTCCACCTCTGCTTTTCAATATCTTTTCATTTGGAACATTTACCCTGCACTTCCCTCAACACCTCCCCCCCCTTTTTTGTTCTTTTTCTCCTTTTTTTTCTTGGCATCTTTAGCATCTTTGCTTTGTGTCTCAGCTTCTTCAAAGTGCTTCAGGTTAACAGAACAGGGTGAGATCTGAACCAGTGGGGCGGGAGGGGGTGAGGGTATAGTCAGAGATTTAAACTATCTTCTTGTGAGTAATGGGCTACCACACCCTGTGCACTCTGACAAGGTTGCCACATCATGTGTATCCTGAACAAAAGGAAAACACTAGGGGAAAATACCTAATTGACTTCTCAATAAAGTACAGAAGAGGTACCACTTGCCTTTGTTTTTCAGATGCTCTGGAGGTTATCAGCACTATCAGGAGACCTAATGAGGTTAAAGCATTTTTTGTTTGTTTGTTTAGGATCTTATAATATACTCCATATTTCCAAACTTTACAAAACAAGAGTAGGTTAGAGAAGCTCAAGCAGAACCTATTTATGTTTCATTCTGTGCTAAAGTTCTTTGCAGCAGTCACCAGCAAATACATCGGGAATTAGGCAGCACTGCCAAATCTATGGGCTATTGCCAAACTTGAAAGTCCTTTCTGAATTGTAACAACTTGAGGCAAATCCATGTTGACTGCTACAGAGAATTTTACCTCAGTAAAAGTTAAGTAGGCAATCATAAATTCAAAAACCTTAACCTTTTCATTCAAGCTCCAATTGAACTGCTTCTGAAAGTAGCTCCTGATTTAAAGAAAGCTATTTTTTCAGCAACATCTACTGAAAGTCTTTGATATTTTTATGTTATTATAGGCAAGATCCTCCCACAGAGACATTAATTCTATCACTGTATATTTATTTAAGGAAAATGAGACTCTCGTACTGCAAAATCTTTGTCATGCTCTGCTCAAATAATAACTGGATTTCAGCTTTCAGATATTTTTTCCCTACTATATAATTAATCTTTGTTTTTACTTCATTTATTTCTAATACCATATAGTTCTATTTCATTGCTTTGTCGCCCTGCTCATTGTAGATGATATCCTGCATATTTTCTTATGCATCTTACCAGTGGAAGGATGCAAATTATAAATGTAGCTTAGATGCCACAAATGACCATGTCAACTATAGACATTAGTGATGACATAAGAGTCCAGATATGTTTTCCTCTGTAAGCTATGTGTTATCCTTTCCTCACTTTTCATTTTTAGTGCAATGGATGTCTTCTGAAAATACAAGCAAAGAAAATGGATTTCCTTTCCTTTGCATATTCCACATATATCTCAATGGATTTTTTCCCTCCTTTTGAAGCCTAATTTCTTTCAGCAGCCCTGGTTGTGTCACTTATTAAGTAAAAAATATTTGCAACACAATCTGTGCTGTATTTCAGCTAAAAAGCTTGACTTTTGTTTAGCCCTAATTAACTGTAATTTTGTTACATTTTAAGATAGAGCCATAGACATAACTTCAACAGGGGCTAAAGTAATATTTGAAGTTAAAATTTAAACAAGTATGTTATAGATAGCTATGCACAGCCATGCTGGCAATGGAAATCTCTATCTTCTTATAGAACACCAAATTGTTTATGTTTGTCCATAGAGTGAACATTGCTTGCATAGTTCCATTTGCATCAGCACTTCCAAATACTTAAACGTTAAAGTCTACTTTAAACGTAATCAAAAGAGAACATTCACATGACCTGTAGGCATAAGGGATATATTGTATATGAACTTTCCAAAGAAATCTTGTAAAAGTGTAAAGAGACAAAAGAAAACTTAGATTTTTACCTTTCTGAGCTTAAGTCTCCCCAGAGGTCTTTCTCAGAGAACCTTAAGAACACTTGAAGTTCTTCTTCAGGGAATTCAAGCCACAAAGATTTATACTGTGTAATGTGTACACTGACTTACACACTCATGATATTTAGTGCTGTGGTTGGAGCATTGCTCAGGATTGGCTAGCCTTGTATTACATCAGCATATGAGTGTTTTTCCTGTATGCGTTTTCACTAATGGAAAGTCCTAATTGCTCAGTATGACACAAAGCAATGTACATTCATATAAGGTGATAATCCACTGTATATTTGTCTGAGTCCAAGTCCTTTGTGGTTTCTGGGACTTTCTTCTGATTAAGCATGCAACAGGCTAGACATCACCCATTCCAAAGAAGACACCTGAAAGGAAGAAACAAGTCAGATCAAAAGCAATCATGCATTAACAGAGAGCTGGAGTTCCAGGGTTCAGAAAAAACACACAGAGAGAGAGAGAGAGAGAGAGGAGGAAGGAGGGAGGGGTCCAATTCATGAATTCTTCTGTCTCTTTATATACCTCTCCATTTCTTAAGTTTAAAATTTCTTAAAACCAGCTGTTTGTCAGTTGATAATCCTGTCTGAATTAAGTTTCTTATGTGCAGGTTAGCAAATTACATAGCATTTCAAGATTCTCTCTGAAAAAAGTGAAATTGGAGGCAGTACATGGGGTCAGAAAAATTATTTTCTATACAATGTTTAGAACTGTGATGTTATGGTATTTGAAAGTTAATTTTTCCTACCAACTTGTCTTCTTTTAGAAAGTGTTTGAAAGCAGATGTACTGAAAACAATGGTAGCTGTGTAGAAGAAGAACATGTGGTGCCCTGTATTCATCTTTGGGTTATGCTTACAGAATCATTTTTTCTAAATGTTGTTGCATAACTAAAGTATAGGTTTGAAATATAATTTGAAGTCATAGAGTTCAGCAGAAACTTTGCTAAGATAGGTGAATTTGATCCGTGGGCTGATCCTACCCATGCTTACTATCAGTGTAATTTGTATTGTAATGCCATGTGGATTTACTTAGGAGTAAGTTTCATTGAACCCAGTGAGGATTGCATACAAGAAGACATCTGCATGAATGCAGTTTTAGTCTTCCTAAATTAAGTAAGCGTATGACTGCAAGAGGAATCTATAGTTTTAATGGGTTGGATCCAGACTTCAATCTCTTTAGAGTAGACCTTTGAAACCTGGGAATGGGGTGTTAATTAGGACTAATTTAAATTCCATTTCAAACATGGGTGCTACTTGCTATAACCCACTGTCTACTGTTTTAGAATTATTTTCAAGTAGTTTATTGCTGTGCAATCCTTTGTAGTTGCTGCTGTGGTGGGTGTTGTGCTGTTACATACTTCACCTGAAGCAACAGGAGAATTGAAATATCAATAAACAGAGCAAGAAGAAAGTCTCTAAGTACAATGAGTACTAGAGCTGAACTGGGACCAGATAGCTCATGGCTTAGATGGAAACATGCTTTTTGACAAATGGCCAAACACTGCAATCCATTTTCACTTGTGATACCCATTGATTTCAAGGGAAGGAGGGAAAAATATGGTTCCAGACTGAACACATTGCAGCCTTCTGATGAGCTTAATGTGGGAAAGGATTATTCTTGCAACAGGAAATGGAAACAATACAATTAAAAACAAGAACAACACACCCCTCTTCATATTGCACTAATGTAAAGGAATGCTTAGGATATCATGGACTCCTGTCTGAAAAAGAGGGGGGAAATGGTGGGGTGAGGTGGGGAGGTTGGGATGACTCACAAGCCCTGTTCTCATTACAAGTTTGGTATAATGAACAAAATTTGTGAGATAATGGGAAACATAAAACTTCATGGTTGTCACTCCCCCCCCTCATGATTTAATATGCATATAGCAAGAATCTCCGGAACCCACATGGCTTCCATAGGGAACAGAGTGTCTCACAGCAGGAGGCATAGAATTTGTAACTCTTTTTCAGGCATTATGACTGAATAGGGCACAGGAATGTATGTAAGAGGGAGAGGCCTGCGAGCACCACCCATCTGCCTGGGCTTCTCCACCTCTATCCACCCTTAGCACCTGTAAAGCCCAGTCCAGCCATTTGTCCCCATGCGCACAGCATTGCACTGGAAACAAACACAGAAACAAACAACCTTTAAAAATAACTGATGGAAGTTCATTTCTCCAGAAAGTTGATTTTTCTAGTTAGCAACCAAACAAGTTAGTAACTGAAGCTTTGAATTTGGGGGAAAAGATGGAGAATCAGAGTGTGTCTGCACCACAAAAATGCCACAGTCTAATATCATGTTAATTGGTATACAGCTCTATTCCACAGAATCTTGGGATTTTAATTTTGATGAGAACAGAATTCTTGGCTAAAGGGCAATATACCAGAGCTCTCTAGCTCAGCACCATAAGCACCTCACAAAAAACTATAAATTCCAGCATTCAGTAGGAGAGAGGCAGGCCATGAATGAGATATCAATCTGCTATTAAAGCATAGGTGCACACTTAAAATTGGGGTTCATTGCAAACTGTACAATCACCAAACACTCAACTACTGAGCTTATTCCATACCCCTTCATCCTGGTGCCCAGCCCTCAGGATAGCCCTACCTATATCATTCCCAACAACCTTTCTATATGGTTGTACTGTGCAGGTGAAGATCAGTGATAGTTGGCATGCTGTCCTCCTGGGAGCTTGTTTTCTATTGGTGATATTACCAGTGATGAGCCCCCAGTGTGTTTTTGAAGAATTCAAGGTCCATTTGTTGGAGCATTGTTTTTAACCTGTTGATCAAAAAGTTACATCCTCACTGCAGTAAGTTAATTCCTTATGGCTGTCTGACTTTGGGAACAAGTATTCACTCACAACAGCTTCTGAATAGCATTATCCCATTGACAAGCAACTGAGGAACTGCATCCCCTCATATTAGACAATAACACTGGAGACATTTAAGCACCCACTTCCCTATCTCTTATGACACAGAAGACTGCATTTTGCATTCCTCTGTCCTGGCCACTGAATCCTGGCAGCTGGAAATGCACAGGGGGTGGATGATTTTCAAGTGGTTTGTGAAGGCAGGGAAGTGGCTATGTTTTGCTTTCTGTTGTTGGCTTGATCAAGCCATCTAAAAGTATCTGCTAAGCAGGAAAGCATCCTCTGCTACTGCAGGTGAACTGTAATGGGGAGTTTCTGAGACTTCCCACAAATAGTCGGGAAGTCCATGGGGAAAACGTCACATCAGCCATGAACTTAGGCAAGCCGTGAGCTCTTAGCCTGAGACACCTACCAATATGGAAGTAATAATACTGTTGTAACTTTAAGTGAGAGGTAAATGTTACTGAGATAACATATGCAAAGTATTTTGAGTGATTAGGAGAAATGGTGAATCTGTAGCCAGTTTCACTGTTTCCTGCCAGTAAGCCCTATTAAAACAGTGGCTATTCTAAATTAAAAAAGAAGAAGAAGAAAGGGGGAAAAAGAGAGAAATAAAATAAAAGGCAAGACCAGATCTTTATGCCCCCATAATTCTTGGGAAAGGATTTACTAATGCCAAAAAAAAGAGGTGTGCCCTGTTGTGAGCCTTTTTTTAAAAAAAATGTTCACTTAATAAAGTTATCGTCTGGGTATGTGATTCGGATTTTGGACTTTGTTCATGGATCAACATGGCTGCCTCTGCATTTTGTTCTACTGTACCATGGAACTGACTGTGTTGCAAACAAATGAACAAATTAACTACAACTTACACATTGAAGGCTGAACAATTAAGTAAAAACCCAATACTATTAGTTCTATAAATTACTTCTGTATTACCCCAGCTCTCAGCATGATACTTCATGGACTGAACTGTATAGCCCCGTTTCTGGGCAGGTAGGTGGCTGGGTGGTGTCTGCTTGCAGCAGCCGTGAGCATTAAATAGTGTGGGTAGGTGGTAACTTCCAAAGGTGTAGTCGTATGATCCTGTGATCTTCTTGCAAACCCAGGAATGAGATATAGGATTATTTTTGGAGGAAGATAAATAGTTGAAAAAAAGTGTTGGTATTTATTTCAGAGCATGCTCTTGATTCCCTCGGGGAACTAGAACACAGCTTTTCCAAATGCCTAATGAGTGCTAAATCTGATGACTAATTTTTTCATGTTCATCTCTCTCTCTCTCCCACCAATTTTTCCCTCCCACCCTCATTCTTCCCTCACTGGCTTTCCCTTATGGATTTCATTGCTGTCTTTTCCTGTACCTACAGCAACACCTGCTGGCAATGAGCCGGAAGGACCAATTTAAACAACCCTTCACACCAGCTGCCATTAAACCTGTGCCAAGGCAAACGAATGAGCTGTCTCTATTTTTAATTCTTCCCTCCAGAAAAGGTGACCTGACTGATAATGGATATATGCTTGGCATTTCGGAAATCTAGGGAATGCAACTTATTTAATATCACTGAGATTTTGTAATCCAAACACTGTTGAATAAGCACTGAAACTGCACCCCTGTAAGCTGGGGAAACCCCAAAATACATTCCTCCACAAACATATACTTGATGTTTACTAGATATGATAACAAAACAGAGCTGCTGATGATGCCAATGAGCACTCCTCCTATTCCTCAAATGGAATGGTCCATTTTAATCTTTTATGTCAGCAGTGTCTCACTCAGTTCCCATTTCACTGATCACCCAGCAGGAGTTGCACAACATGTTGAAACCCTGAATCAAAAAGGAAAAAAAGGACATCTGCATATGTGCCATCCCTCATCTTTGTGTTGAAGAGAGGTTGGTAGAAAAAACGTTGGGTGGGGATTGCAGTGTGTATCAGCTGGAATGTTGTGCCATTGTACCCTCTCTCTCTTTTTTTTAAGGAATCACAATGCAAAAGATGGTTCAGGACTAAACAGCATCAGAACCTCTGAGTATTCTGCTTATATTTAAATTGACCAATGAAAGTTTGTTTTTCTGATCCTGCAGCAAATGATATTTATGTGATAACTTGGAAGGGCTGTTTTTTTCCCCCAGCCATAATTAGCAAGTTGCTTGAAAAAAAAAAGAGTTCATC